GACATAATTTGACTTTCCAGGAGTTAGAGATTATCTCCTGCTTTATATCTGGCTTAGTATAAATCTGGAAAGTCTCCTTTTCTAAAGGGAGTGCTGCCCAAATTTCTACTAATTCAGGGAGTTAAACAAATTTTGGCTTTCCGGAGTTAGAAATTATTTATATTTTTCATATCTAGGCTTGTATAAATTCTGAAAAGGCAGTTTTCCTACGGGAAGCGCTGCCGAAATTTTTCTTAGTGTAGAGGAGATAGGTTATATTTTGACAGGTGAAAATTCAGGCGATCCATCCAGAATAGGGGAGATTCTGCAGTTGGGCTACCTTTGACTTAAGCACTGACTTAAAAAGTAGACTAAGACTTAGCTTATAAGAAGATTTTAATTGAGGATGTATTATGGAGTTGTATTCTCCATACACTTATGATCTTAGCTTGGGGATTGGTCTGCCATGTGTTACAGGTCTTTTCGATCATTTGATCGAAGTTCAGGGCTAGATCCAGCTTGATCCCTTGAGGATCATCATCTGTTATCACTGATAACRGGTCGGTTACCGATTYGTCGSTTTACGATTCAKTTTCAACTCACCCTCTACACTCAACCTAAAAGGCTTTAGCCCTGGTGAATTTTATTKTTTTATTAAGGTTTCACCCGGACTTTTATYGAATGKCCATTTAACAAAGGTAMTGAGTATTTAATTAAGGTTGGTTGGACAGGAGGTTTGGGGYTYGCATGGCTAAAGCGAGGGGTATGAATGTCRAAGGTGGTTGGGGTTGACTCCGTGTAGTRTGTGGACTGTTGRTTTGGTTCSTTGATGTGATGGCAGGTATGTGYTGTRAATCAGATTCCGGATTTGGTTGCCTGTGATCACACATATACGTATTATTGTGAGAAACCCCAGCGAAACCATGAGGAGCGRTCGTCACATATTTAACCTTTATATAYGTATACATGGGTATACTTGGGATGATTGTTTGCATGGGTTGAAGAATCTCCATATTAAAGCCCCACTCAGAAGTTGGGACTGAGGAACTTAGAGGAGGMCCCTAYTTCTGTTTTTATTCCTGCTCTTTGATGATTTTCTTAGTCGGACGTTTGGTCCTGGGCTGGGATTCGAGGTCCTTGTCCARGACATCCCAAGCCCTAGGCTCTGCAGGGGAGGGGTTTTTCCCTCGCGCAGGGCCTATTTGATTTGCCTACCGAGACGCTTAGGTCGAGAGCCTAAGGCGCAGCGGCGGCTGCACGACTGTTTTCTTCAGCCGTGCAATGTCGTGAAGGRCTAGGCCCTCACGACACTTCAAGTCTGACACTTGAGTGTCATAAGCGGTACTCRGATCCACGAGGGACCGCTTGATTATGGGMAMTACATAGTACGCCATCATTGCGACTGCTTGCGTACGTTTGCATTGCGAGTCGATATGAGTAGGCCCTGCGTCCGCGCGTTTTTATCCTAAAGTCTCGCGYGCGACGGCTAGTCGATTTTGCATCGGAAAGTTATGGGACGGCTACCGAGGGGCTAGGAGCGTTGTCGCGTTGTTTGTGTCGTGTCGTTTCGTACGTGTGCGTGTACATGTTTTTATGTTCTGGTGTTCGTAACGTGGAGTGCGCATGGTGTGTGCGAAGCGTCCTAGTCGACCGACGATGAGTCGCGCTTGGGACCTCAGCCCCCCCAAGGTGTCGGTTCGCGTGCGGGTCCAATAGAGGCGTATTACCGCGCGTACACCCTATGCTACAGCGAACGAGAAATGCCCTCGGCTGGTTCACCTCTGCGATTACAGCTGATTATTTTTCGTACTGTGGACTGGTAGCTCGACAGGGATACGCCCACTGAAGGGAGGTGACAGCTCCCGTAAGGTGTAGGTTAGTCGTGCCTCGCGTAGGCCCTATCCTGTCGTAGGGGCTCGCGAGAGGTATGGCTGGCGCACCTGGCCGGAGCGGCTTGTGGAAGCTCCATGTATATTTGCGACGAAGGGTTGTAAAAAAAAAAAAAAAACAACTCCTGCGTGACGCGGCCGGGAGGGTCCCGCGCTGCCCCCGTGCGGTGCCGGACCGATTGCGCCCGACACGTGGTGTCGTTGCCGGGGATAACGGAAAGCCTACCGTTGTCCCTGGTGGAACGACATCCGGGTATGAGAAGTAAATAAGAAAAGGCATAAAAGAGTGATGAGAGAGTAATGAAGGAATATATGAATGACTAAGTGTAGGTGAGGAAATTTACCTACCCAAGTAGAGGAAGTATGAGGGACGATCGTGTTAACATTGGGTAAAGTAAGTACTGAGGGTTAGGTAGGAAGGATGGATTAGACCGATCAAGGTATAATGTTGAATAAGGGGATGTGCTTGTTTTCTTTTTGCCAGGGAACTTAAAGAGAAAGGGCTATCATGATGCCTGAGACTAGCGGCGCATCAGTTGTTCCCGAGAAGGGCCTGACACTCGATGACCTCATCGCGGCCATCGACCGACATGAAAGGAACCCGAGCAACATCCCAAAGGTCGATACTTTCCATTTCTGTGGGGAGAGAGTCTTATAATGGCTAGAGCGGGTGGAACAAGCTTTGGTCGGGCAGCCGGATGTTGTAAAGTTTCAACGCATCCTTCAGTATGTCCTCCATAGCTACCATCAGGAGGTGAAGAAAGTCATAGAAGCGGCCCAAGGTAGCTGGGAGAGATTCAAGGAGGGGATGCAGAGGAAATACCGCCTGGGAGACGGGTTGTTGACTACCGCGGACCTTGAAGCGATGAACAAAGAGGATTTTACGACGATAGGGGCCTTTGTTCAAGAATTTAAGAAGAGGGCGCGAAAGGTCCATGGGATTTCAGAGGAAGCACAGTSCGCCATCTTCCTGGGGCTGCTCACGGCATCGGAGGCCGTCGAGTTGACGAGACATGGAGGAGGTAGCACTAAGCTCACCTAGGCCACCATTGATAGAGGGGTGGAAGTGGGATGTTTGGACCAGGTCGAACAACGTCAGGTACGCCTGCAAAGGCAGAAGAGAAAGGAAAGAGATGCGACTGCTTCTGGGACCCCGGGAGTAACAAGGATTGTTACAGACGTATTGGCACAGTTAGGGTATGCGACAGAGCCTGTGGTGCAAAGGAGGGTGGTGACGGCTGTTGAAGTAAAAGGAAAGGAGCCAGTGATAGAGGAGGCTGTTCAGGAAGAGCTCTGGGAAGAGGAAGATCCGGTGCCGCAGCACCTGACAAAGGTCCAGCGCAAAGTGCGTAATTTGGCGCAGGGCGGACAGGGATCAGGAAAAGCGCAGGCACCTCAGGCCCAGGCAGCAGCCCCTTTAAATGTGGCGGCTCCATCATCTAGTACGGGCCCCTCGCATTGCGGGGCGCCCTCCTACGGGCAGTGGCCCTGGCCGGTGATCAATGCAATTGTGCCGTGGGGAAGCCCGCCACCAGTAGCCGGACCGCAAACGAGTATGCCACCGCCCATCTACCCCGCAGCCCAGGCCCAGCCTATGGCCCCGCYGCCGTCACCTGCTCCTAGTTCACAAGGCAGTGTGGCAGGAGGTGGGAACCAGGGGCAAGGCGATCAAGGCGACGGAGGGAGGGGTGGAGGAAGGGGGCGTGGCAGGAATTGCGGCGGAAGAGGAAGGCAATGGAATGGCCAAGGCCAGGGGTACCAGGGCCAAGGGGGCCAAGGCCAGGGGTACCAGGGCCAAAGAGGCCAAGGCCAGGGGTACCAGGGCCAAGGGGGCCAAGGCCAGGGGTACCAAGGCCAAGGAAGTCAAGGCCATGGGTACCAAGGCCAAGGGAGTCAAGGCCAGGGGTACCAAGGTCAAGGCTATCAAGGCAAGGGGTATCAAGGCCAGGGGGATCAGGGAAGTCAGGGGTATGGAAGACCCCGCTTTGACTGGAGGACGGCCATCTGTCAATATTGTGACCAACAAGGTCACACTATAAGGTTTTGTAATCTAAGACGGGAGGACGAGAGAAGCGGACTAATTTCCTCCACTATGGATGAGAATATTTATGATCAGTTTGGGGAGACCATCGACAGAAGGCTTGGAGGAGTGAGGGCTGAAGCCCAACGAAGAGCGGCAGCTGGGCCGCAACCCCCTGCCATGTTCAGGCTATGGCAGGAAAAGGTGGAACCACCGATTGGGGAGGAGGAAGTAGGGAGTAATGAGGAAGTGGATCAAGGGCTACTAGGAAGGAGAAAAAAGGAAGAGCCCATAATCACTGAGGCAGAAGACGGAAGTTAGGAGGAAAGAACGGAGTCTCCGTCAGTCTTATATGGGAAGATGGAGGACCTGCTGGATAAGATAGGGAGGTACCAACGGAAGGTGGTGGGCCTCTGTGAGGAAGTGAAGAGATGAAAATCTAGCATCCCCAAGGTGTTCCTCTACGACTCCGGTCCGGAATCGGCACCCGGGCGACCCGGAGTAAATGTGGTGGGGTCATGCCCACAATCAGGAATGAGGGGGAGACCCCTCACTCCGCAGGCACGGCTGGCCCAGGCAGCATGAACGAGAAATCAAGCCAGAGTCAGCGCCAGCCAAGAACCTCCGAGGAGGGAGGCGGAGCCAGAAAAGAGAAAGGAGGCCGTGGAAGTAGAAGATGATGATGATGACGATGAAGAGGAAGAGGACGAGAGGCTGCGTAGGGAGGAGGATCAGAAAGCGGAGCAGCGGGCGAGGAAAAAGGAAACCAGGGGAGAAGTCGAGCCGGTTGTGCGCGACGGACCGCCCAAGAGGAAGAAATATGCGGTTCGGTTGGAAGAGGGATTTGACGTGGAGAAAGTGATCGACCGATTGCTAGAAGGGCATAACGATCTCATGACCCTGAAGGAGATCCTCGCCTCAGCCCCGCGACTCCGCGATGAATTGAAAGGGAGGTTGTCGCGACGTTTGGTGCCAAATGTCCATCTGGGTACGATCCTGCCCAAGGAGGTAGAGTGGTCAGAGTCAGGCACGAAGATGGATTGAAAATGCGTAGCCTGCGGTACGGTGGATTTGATGGTGAAGGGTTCCAAGTGCGCAGCAATGGTGGACACCGGGGCATAGATGAACATTATTCAGGAGGCGGACGCGATCAGATTCGGACTGGATATAAACCGTTCTGACTGTGGTATTCTGCATGGAGCTAACTGTAAGGCCGTGTTTTGCGGGACAGCCTCGAATGTGCTCGTCGAGGTTGGAAAGGTGAAGGTCAGCGCATGCTTCTTCATAATGTCAGACGTGGACCATGGAATCCTCCTAGGGAGGTCATTCCTAAGCAGGACAGAGACCGTGATGTTTAACAAACATGATGGGACGTTGATCCTCCTCTTATGCGATCTTGCCTGCGGGAATTATGAAATAATTACTTACAGGAACACCGGGCCAAGGAGTATAAGGAACCGGCCCAATGCACGATCATTCACAATCGAGGAGTCGGAAGGGGAGCGCAGGAGGCTCTGGGCAGAGCCCGAASCAGGAGAGAGGGTGAAAGCCTTTTCCCTCAGCCTGTCAGATATTGGGAAGGCCATGGATTTAGTGGCCGTGCATGAGATGGCAGATCCGGATGCCATCCAGGCTTTGAGGGAGCAAGTTCTGGAATGCCCCGAGGCAGGAAGATTGAAATTGGTATATCGGCTCCCAAGCAGTGGAGGGATCATCGCATCAGCGCAAATACAATCCGTGAGTCAGCCTTTTTAGGGGACGACTTTAGCAGGGTTCCCAAAGGCGGTACAAGACGGTAGATAAGAAGTGCCGCCCAGTACCCGTCCACGTTACAGAGGACGAGGAAGCATATTACGAGAGGGAACGAGGGTTGATTCGAAGAATGAGGGAAAGTGCTTTAGCAGGGTCATGTCGTATCAATGAAGGGAACGAGAAGGAGTTGATCATAGGGGAGTCTGATTTCCTGCTACCTCAGGAGCGAACGTTGATGGTGGAGCTAATGAAGAGGAAGCATCGCGCCTACGCGTTTAGTGACGAGGAGCGTGGCAGGATGGATGTAGACA